GCTGTTAAATGATTTTAGAAAATGACTTATGAATGATCTCCCCTTCTAATCATCAATATCCTTCGGAATATCGACCCTTTCTTGTCCATCCCAGAACATCCTTCCTAGCCTCTCATGTATGTGCTGGCGCACGTGTCTCCCTGTGTTTGCGATGCCATTAATTGGATTATCTAGCGCTCCGTGGCACCACAACAAAATAATTATAATTATTTTAATTTTTATTCTCGCATACAGTCGGCGTCGCACTTGGGGGCAAAAAAATTAATTAAAAGTTATTATCTTGCGTGTTGCGATCTATCGAAGGCCAATCAATCGATAGCTGCATTGCCATCTTGGCTGCCATTTTGCATGGCATTTATGAGCCACCCGCACCCGCACCCACACCCCGTTCATCATGATTTTCCACCAATTTTCACCAGCTGACGACAATGCAGTTAGACGGTGGAATGGTAGTATGGTGGAATTTTCCGGGCTGCTGTTGAACTCATGCTGTGCAGGCTTTTCCATGTGTTGGTCAAATGTGTGTTTGACATTTTCGTTATGTTCGGTGGACAGCGGGATAGGGGGAGTGAGGAGTGAGGAGTGAGTGCTGCTGGTGGGGAGAACGTGCGCCATTTAATGCAACCAGCTGCTGATGCTGATGCCTTTGTTGCTGCCGCTTTTTGCGGCATGTCCTGCGTCCTGGCTCCTGCATTTTGCATGAAATTTCTCAAAATTGTGCGCATTTGTTGAGGTTGTTGTTATAATTTAGTTGGAAATTGCTGTCACACCCACACAATCAACCAACCCCCATCTCGAAACAGACACTCACACATACATACACTCTCGCACACTCGCACACTCGCACAGCATTAACCCACTGAGGCGGCGGTGTCATCTCAACTCGGATTTAATCTGCAGTAATTTGTTTGATTTCTGTTATTGGCCTGTCACTCGACTGCCGGCCACAAGAAAATCCGGCAAACATTTACCACAAGTTTCCAGTGACGGGGGGAATTTTCCTATAAATTTTCTGTCATTTTTCAGGCTGCCTCAGAATTTAAATAATTATTTATGATTCAAAGTTAAAGCAGTAATAATATATTTAATATTTTTTTCCAAAAAGTCTTAACTTAATTATCATTCCTGCTTTGGGTTAAAATTTTATGAATTTTCAATTTAATTTCAGAGGCAAAAATAAAAACAGAACTCGGCTGGGCAAAAAAGTGGAAAGCAAGCTCATTCGCTCACGCGCTTTCGCTTGGCTTCAGTTTCAGTTTGCAGTTTTAGCTTTCAGTTTGGCCAAACCCAAAGGGGTGCTCATCCCCCCCTAGACCCCCTTTAAAGTCTCCTCACTGGGCCAATTCCACGGCCATGGCCATGGCCAGTTGGTCAGTTTTGAGTTTTGTCAGTGTTGATAACATTTCGGGCTAGTGAAAAACGGCCAAAACGGGCCAAACGGCTGAAAAGCAGAGGGGCACGAAAGCCGGTTGGGGAGAGGGGGGGAAAACGGTTGAAAATGGGTTTTTGGCCTGCTGCAAGTGTAATTTTAGCCAAAACGCGAATTGCGAATTGGATTGCGGCTTATAAGCACGTTTATAAATTACTGATTCGTCTATGGACTAGGTTAGCCATGGTCCTGTAGTCCTGTAGTCCTGACTCCGTAGTCCCGTAGTCCCAAAGCCGGACCCGGGCTTATGTCAGCGAATGAATAAATTAAATATTCCATCTCCATCATTGAAAATGTGGCCATGTGTTTTTCTATCTATGTGTGTGTGTGTTAGAGTGTGTGTATTTGCTGTGTGTGCTCTGCTTTAATTAACTTTTTTTCGCGTTCGGTTTTGGCAGATTGTGAACTCCTAAAAATTGAATTTCCTCTTTCGTAATTAATTTGTATTAAAAACCAATTTTAGACGGGACCAGCCATGGCAATCCCGGCCAGAAACTCCGGCTTAGCCCGGCTTAGGCCTTGTCATTTGACCCTAATGCAACGACTGACTTTGGCCTTTGGTTGATTGCATTAATTAGGACCCAGCAAAAAATGCATGCATACATCGAAATGCACAAAAGTATCTATAATCCTAAACCAAATACAACTGCTAATTGCAAATTAATTGAAAAGTTTTGCCCGAAATGCGGGGATTATGAAATCAAAAGATGCGATTGTTAGTTGGAATTCATGACATGGAATTGGGGTTACTTCAAGGAAGTAAATTAGTTTCGATTCATACAAAATATATATTTATATATATTACAAATTCCTTTAAACTATTTCGATTTAACTTGTTTAACTGAAAATCCATGAAAGTTAAAAATAATCAGGAAGGAGAGGAAAACCCCCCCACTTATCTCATTCCAATTTCCGTTTCACTCTCGAACGAATCCCGAAATTCCCCAACTAATTAAAAAACGCATTATTCAAAGTGCCACAAAAAATATTGAAAATGAAAGGCAATCCCCAAGGGCAGCCAAGTGAGTTTCCCTTTTGGTAACTGGTAACTGGTAACTGGTAACTGGTAACTGGGTTTTTGTTTGGCCAACGCTTTTATGGCCAGATTGCAGATACGGAGATACAGAGATATAAATACGCTTTTCCGGCCTTTCCACGCATCCAATAACCGATTAATAAATATGCGCAAATTTTATTTTAATGCCTTCCTCGTCGGCACGTGAGTTATGACCTGGTTAAGAGTCCTGGCTGCGGAGCCTGCAGAATTTTTGGCCTTTTATGACCTATGCCAAGCCGCCTAAATTGGCCACAAATCGTGGCCCAAATAGCCAAGATCTGTTCTGTTTCGCTTTTGCATTTTTTCGGGATGGGGGGGGGCCTTTTGGCACATGCCACGGCTCGCGGCCAGTGCGAAATCAATTAATTTAAATTTTTATTGCCACACTTGCCACACACATTAATTCGTTGATTCGCCTCAATTTCTGTGCGAAATGTGCTGTCTGCTCAGGCCGATGATTTATGTGAGTCTGCAAAGATGCTCCTAATGGATTATTCATCTGCATGCTGTTTATGTGTTCTCCTCCAGTCGCCAGTTCTCCGCATCTCCGGAGAGATCATAACTGGTGTTAAATGATTCCCGGGTCGGCCAAGTGGATGCCGTTGAATTCTCCAAGCATTAACATGGCCCATAAAGAGCTCTATGGCATGCATGGAATACTCGACATCTTGTACGATAAAATGTTTTATTTTTGGCCATTAAAAGTTTAGCTTTCTATATGATGTATAAAACATATGTAAGTTTATTTTAGGTAATATTGTTTTTATGATTTTCAAGTATTCAAATGTTAACTATAATATTTTTAAACCCGTTTACTTGATAATAAATCGAAGCTCTGTTATAGAAAAAACTTGTTTAACTTACTTACAGCTTCCTTAACAGCATTCACATTAAATAACTATTATTTATGTACTCATTTTAACACAAAACATTCTCGAACATCTTCAAAATTATTATCCATAATTTGCGTTGAGAAATCAAACTCCACCACACACACATTTTGAAAGACACTTAAAATGCACAATTTACGAACTCGGCCGCACTTGTCCTGCTTTCGGCCTCTAAAAATACTCGAAGATTATTTGGGCATTCGTTGGGCGGCATTCACGTGTTTATATTCTGGCCGAGATGTTCCAGCTCATTGGGTTCATTTTTGGCATTAGCACTTGGCATTGTTAAAGCACTTTGAATGGCAATTAAGTGGAGGATGAAAAACATTCAGACCCGCACACGCACTCGCACTCGCACTCGCACACGTACAGTCACGGAAATATGCGTAAATTCGAGTGCAAACACACAAACACACACTCTCGAATATACGGACAACTCAATTTGCACTTCATCTGTTGATGTGGCTGTGTTGGTAATTGCTAATTGATTTTGCCATATGCATTAGTTGATACATTTATAATTATGCCTTTCAATTGTCGGGCGTTTGAAGTGCCGGCGACTCGATGAGGCATGAATCTTAATGCCGCACACATTTCTCATTAGGTGATTATGATTGGGTGTGTGGGGGGATTTTTCGGCTGCGGGGTGTGAGAAAATCTGCAAAAGAGGGAGAAGCTGGGAAAGCTGGAAAGGCACCACCCAAATAGCTCGGTTAACTGACCATGCTGCATGCGGAAAAACCACTCTAAACTTTATTAATTTTAATTAAAAACACTCGACTCATTTTGAGGGTTAAACGCTTTTCTTGCAGCTTTTCCCTGTGTGTTTCCCTGGCTTCCATAAGCCGCAGAGCACTCCACTGGCCAGCAGGCGGCGAGAGCAGTTAAAAACAAGGAAGCCATCATCAGGGAAACTTACTCCTTTCGTCGACTTTGAGTCCTCTCGAAGCGGCAGTTTCCTTTCTCACAGGAATTGTCACAAAAATATCATATTTTCTATTAAAGTTTATGATGATTTTTAAAATGAATAATATTAAGTAGTTATTTGATTATTTCTTAAAAATATTCCATCCAAGTAACCCCAACTTCATTGGGTTAGGGCATTCAAGCTTTGCCCAAAGGGACGTGAAATATCATTAAAAAATCTGAGCTAAACTTCTGCCCAAAAGGCGTAAGACGTTTTGTGTATACCGAGAGTCCAGGGACCAGGACACCAAGGACTCCGGATAAACGGGGGTTGGCCAGAGGCCCCAGGCCTGCAAATCGTTGGTTTGTGCGACTTTTTGTTTATTGTTTTGACGCCGCACGCGGCAGTTGGTCGCTTTAAGCCATAAAAAGCAAAGGTGCGACGACGATAAACAATGGGCAAAGGGCTCAGCCCCCCACCGACAATTGTCTTGGGCTAAATGCACGGCTTAAGAATGAAATTATCTTTATTAATATATACCTATATAAAAAAGTGGATAAAATAAAAACGGGTAACTCCATTTTCACCAAATAAGAGCTGGCTGAAGTTTGAATTACTTTGCAGTCTTCCTCGGAAAATTCCAATAATTATAAAGAAAATATCTGGCAAAGTTGTATTTTTTCTGCACTACCTTAAAGTTTAGAATGTAAATATAAATTTCATAAATTATGTTATTTTATTTAGTTCTCTTTAACAGCTTTGTTCGACCATCTTGACATTAAAAACTCATTGATAACAGCAAAAACCAGACAGGCTTACATAAGATTCATACACACACTCAGGCACACTCTATAGACTAAGGTTATATAGTTATATTTATTTTCATTCCTAAGGATATATTATTCCGCTGTGGTGGATGCACCGAGCTCGGCACTCGGGCTCTTGGCCAGCCTTTGAAGCGGTCCCAGGAGACTGAGGAGAACCGGCAGCAGGATCAAGCCGTGGGCTGCTCCAATGAGGACAATGCCCAGATACATCCGGAAGTAGAAGACCTGGAAGATCTGTGAGTTGGAGAAGCCCAGGACTACGATGCCGGCGAATTTGGTGAGTGTGATGCCCGAAAGGACACTGCTTCCAGTCACATTCAGAGAGTGATGAGCCCGCTCCTGGGCAGTTCCCTCCGCCCTCTTAAAGGACCTTACAATATGTGCCACGAACTCCACTCCGATGCCGACGCAAACCACCAGGTTGACCAGCGAAATGGCATTCAGATTAATGCTCCACGCCCACATCATCCCCAGCATATTGATCAATATGCAGATCACCATGAAGAGGACGATCAGGGTGGATGTGATGTCCAGGCCGGTGATCAAGAGGGTAACGATGAATATGGCCAGCAAAGACATTCCCAACGAGAACAGCGCATCCTCCCAGATTGTCAGATACTGTTCGTAGTAAATGTAGAAGACGCAGTAGGCGAATATCTCCGCATCCACGCCATTCTCCTCGAACATTGCATTTATCTCCCCTGCAATTCTTCGCACTTCGCGCAGCTGCGAGTAGAATTCTTCCGAGGTGGTCGATGTGGTCGAGTACTGCATGAAGTAGGTGTCCTGTACAGTGGACATTCCCTCATCGTCGATGGTGTAGATGACGGCCTAGGAATATAGATTTTTAATTATTTTTTAATTATTATGAAATTTATCTTTCTAAAAGCTTTTTCATTTGGAAAAAAAACACAAAATATTGCCTACTTAAAATTAATCACTACTCACATCAGCATAGGAAGCTCTTCCAGCCTTGGCGCACTCGGCATCTGGCAGATCGAACAGGAAGAAGGGAATATACTTGTTAAAGGTCTCGGCATCTGGTCTCAGGCCATTCTCAGTAAATCCGCGTGGACAAGGCAGGCAGTCCTCACTCTTGGAGTCTGAAGAGAACATAGATAGATATAAGTTATATATTCAACTTATTGATTCTAATTTTCTGAATGTTTCCCTGTGGTTTCGATTCAAGTTCCTCAAGGACTACACTGTTTTAAACTTTATTTGTAACTTTTTATATTCCTTTTCTTAACATTTCTTAATATTTTAAACCTTACAACCTGTAAATTAAGTGTATTGGCATGCTTTTTAGTGATAATAGAACACAGACTGAGCTAACTGGCCATTCATCTTAAGGACTATATTAGCTATATATTATATAATATGATTCTCATTAATATATATTATATTTTTATGTCAAACGTCAATCCCTTTAATCAAATAAGTAATTATATATACAAAATATGTAGTGAGATTAAAAGTAATACTTAAAGGAGATATATTCTGAAAGGGAAGAAAGCTTATCAGACCTATTACTACTTAAATCTTTGCTTGACCTTGGTTAAAAATATAGTAAAGTATTATTTTAATTACTAAGCATATTAAACTGGTAAAAATGTGTTAAGTCACATAAATTTATGATTGAAAACACCTTTTCAGTGAACTTAAACTTATTCCCAATAATTTATTAATTAAATAATTCAAGATCTCATTTGAATATACTTACTGCTGGAACAGAATCCGTTTGTGGTGACATTGTACTTGCAGCAGTCGAGAATGGCCAGCCAATCGATGTAGTCGTCCAGCCAGGAGGAGGCTGGTCGGGCCAAAGCTGTGATTTCCGGATACCGAGATTGTGTATACAGCTGCACGGACAGGGAGTTGTTGTTGCACTCAACTCCGCCGCAGATGAGATTTTGCTGAAGGGGCTCCGAGTAGTTGAGTCCGGGCTTGAGAACCCAGTAAACCGGAGCTCCCATCGCTAGCAGGTCGACCATGTAGCGGAAATACTTAACAACATGAGAGTTCTTCGGCATGGACATCTCCTGGTCGAGGCCCTTTTCAATGGAGGGCGTCACCATCAATGAAAGACAGGTGACCACAGTGAAGATCAGCAAAACGCACACTTTAACGGGTCTGAAAATGGTATAAAAGGGAAATGTAGTATACAAATAAAGGTTTGAGATAAGGATTTCCCCTTCTGCAAGGAAAAGATTCTTCTTGGAACATATACTTACTTCGAAAGCAGGAAGGGTGAATAGAAGTTCTTGAACATGCTCTCCAGCACGCCGACCTCCTTAAGTTTATCCTCACCGTCCTCGCCTTCACTTTTGGTCTTCTTTCCACTGCTCCTCACACAGCACAACATGTCTAGTCTGCCGTCCAGGTAACGCCTCTCATCGATGGCCATCAAAGCTACGAATGCGGTGATCTGCAGCAGGAAGTCCAAAAGAATGGCAATGGCGGCGTACATGGCAAAGGTTTTCACCGCAGGCATATCGGAAATACATCCGATGGCAAAGCAGGCTATTTCACTACCCGCCGTCTGGAGGATCGATGGGCCCACTTGGCCAATGGCCTCCCCAATAGCCTCGTGGGTAGTCTTAAACTTCGAGTGATCGAGCCTCTGATATGTGTGTACCATTATGAAGATGTTGTCTACTCCCACGGCGAGCACCAAGAAGGGTATTACTTCGATAGCCAGCATTGTGGTCGTGACATCCAGGTATCCCCAGAAGCCCAGGCTGCATACCACCGAAGCCAGAACAATAACTATTCCTCCAATGGCCAGCATTATTCGAGATTCTTTCAGGAAGCCTAAACAGCTGCGGATGCGACCCAAAGCTATGGCCACGTAGATGAACATAACCACATAGCTGATGACCACTGTGCCTACTTCTCCCTCAGATAGTTCCACTATCGCATCCTGGATTGATCTTTCAGCCATATAGGCTATATCCAGTCGATCGCTCTTGTAGTCCCGCAAAAAGTCTACGAATAGCTGCTCCCACTTCATATTGGGCTCCAGTTTGGACTCGTCGTTCTGATTCCGACCCAAGAAGGTGATGACAAGTCCTGTGGCCAGCATGTAGTCGGGATCCTCACCCACCGCTACCTTGGGCATGCCGCCAACAGCAATGCCGGGTTCAATGGGTCCTCCATATGTTCCAAAGCAATCCTCCATCATTGGGACACTAAAAACGAAGGAAAGCAAACATATTATATAAGTCATTCCAAAAATAAACTTAGTTTTAATATACGATCTTCTTTGACTATGATATTATCTTGAAACTAATGCAATCTTTACCGAAGACAATCCTCCAATTGATTCAAATAGTTGATGGTGTAGTTATTGCTATCGATGTAGGAATTCTCAAATTTATCCATATCGTGCTGGAAATATCCATAGATCGACTGGATGACGCAGTGGTCGACTGTGGCCGTCTCTCCGGCCATCAAAACGGGGGCATAGCAGATCTTATCGAGACCCTCGTTGTCCTCCAGGCCCAATTTCATAATGGACTCCTGCAGCTCGAAGACTTCCTTCAGGAAGTTGAACTCGAAGGCAGGACCAAAGTTCAGCAAGCCACTGGGAGCATCGTGAGTGAACTGAAAATATTCAAAATTGCAGTAGGTCAAACGAAGGGTCACTCTAACTGTTCGTAGTGGGTCACGATGTATCGATAGATATTACGATAGCAATTAACTTAACGTAACACGATTGGAGATATCGAAAGCACGGACTTTCAAGTCATATTTTGAGAATAACAGACTTGAGGACGTATTCTTCTATTTTTTTTAGATTGTTCTAAGTTAAAGATTTTATATAATGATATTTAAAAGAGTAATCTAAAACAAAGCTCGACGTGTTCCAATTTCAAATCTCAAAAAGTTAATGGCCTTAATCTATAATAATCCGCATGCTAATTATCTGGTTGAACTTGTTTAGTTTATTAATAGAAAAGTGTAAGATAATTGGTTTAATTACTCCTTTCAATCATTTTATAAATAGTTTCAACTTACGTAGGTCTGGTTGATGGCCTTGATGAACATCTGATTTGTCCGGTAGAATGGTCCGAAGTGCTGATCGAAGTAGTCCTTCTCGATCCTCGTTTGGCTCTCTTCGCCCGCCCACAATTCCACGGGATCTGTGGTAATGGACATGTACCGAATGCCGTAGGATAGGCCGGCGATGGCCCAGGAACAGAGGGCCAGAACCAGGACCGGATGCTTGGCACAGAAGGTTCCCCAGGCGCGGAAGCCATAGTAGAAGAACTCCCCAAACAGTGTGGGCATGCAGACATTGGGCGCGGAGGATTTGCCAAAGGAGCCCCAGAAAATGAATATTGAGAGCACCACGGCAATTATCAAAGCCAGAATAAAAGTGACTCCATACAATCCTGCAATCTTCCAGAGCTCTTCGGGTCCCGTGGGAGCATCAGTCATCGGACAGGACTCCTCGCAATCGATGCAAGCACATGCATAGCTATCCTCGTAGCTCTGGCCGCACTTCAAGGGGCTTAGATCTAGATAAATCTCCTCAGAGCCCTCCTCCGCATCATCCGACCACAGGTAGTTGATCTGAAACGGGACATAGTCGCCGGATACATCGCCCATGAATTCGTACCATCTCCGGTAATTGCAGGTCTTGGCATTGTAGCCGCCACAACCCAAATCCATGGCAGGCCGTCCAGTTTGGGTGTGCTGTATCCCTTCACAGCTCTCGTAGATCTTCGATACCGTACTATCCGTAATCCGATAGTCGATATACTCCACATAGACTGCACCCGCTTCGTTGGTGGCATTATAGCCGGTCAAAAAGAGAGTGTGGTTCTTGGCACAGGTCATGGCACAAACGGTCATGGCCATGTTCCTGGTGCACGTGGGACATCTGGAGAAGACGCCATCTGCCTGCGACAGTCCCGACTCCATAGTCTCAATTTGGGCCGCATCGCAGCAAAGACTCAGTTCGTCCTCACCACTTTCGCCCTTGTACTCCTTGTATAGCAATGGACATCGTTTGGCAAAGATTGCCTCCGAAGTTGGGCTATTCAGAGGTCTTGCTGGCCTCGTGTCCGCCAGATTCTGCCAATGGGCGCCGATCATATGACTTTGGCCATACCAAATACATCCCAACTCCTGCTCCTCCTCGCTCTGCGACCACACTCCGGCCATTAGCCATAGTATCACCAAAATCACTTTCATTGCAACACCACAAAAATAAAAAATAAATAAATCTATAAATAAAGACTGGAAGACTCTCCCCTTCGTTGAGAGTGAAAACAATTCGCGCCGGCAGCACGCCACTAACTGAACCAAACCCGGCCCAATCCACTGACCATTAACACACTAAATGGTCGGCAGGCTATATCGAAAATCGGTTGGAGTACCCACCGATTAGATTTGCCCAGCGTTTTGGGTTTTCTTTCCATTTTTTACCAGCCCTTATCGCCGGCCGATAAGCTTCTGAATTCATTTGGATTTCGTGTTGAAGCAGGCTTAATGGGTATGCAAGGGGTCTTATCTTCACGGGGATTATCAATGAATGCTCACATAGCGACAGGTGATCGTAAAACGATTAGATATTAAAGGTCAATTCCGGAGCTAAATCGGTTTCTTTTATATCTAGACACTAGCTAAAAATGTTTATTGCCAGAGTTTTGAAGATACTTCTGCATATGATAAGACATTCTGTATCTTACTTTTCCAACCAGATAGATCTATAGTTTATGGTAGCCGGTAGCAAAGATAAGGGTTAATAGACATTTCATTCAACGTTTTCTAAGACAATGTTAGCTGCTTTGATAATATTAGATTTCAATGATAGAGAAACTACCTCTCACTTCTTCTACATCATAGAATATATATTGGTAAATATAATAGCTTACAGCAAAGGTGCACAATAATCCTTACGGCAAACATTTCTTGCACAATATTATCTACGTTAATTGCTGGTCGAAACCGCACCTGTTCAGACACCTGAGCTTGTATCTTGGGCTTATCGTTGGGTGAATTGGCCTAGCCAAGAGCAGCTGGCCGGCACAATAAAATCGCGATCGGCTCTTTTTTGGAACACCTGTTCCGTTGTTTGTTGATAAGTCGAGAGGCCCTCTCGAGACCCTTGGCTGCCGTAAAGTTTTATACGCCTCAGCAACTTCGGCGTGTAGGTCTTAATCTCCGCCGGAAGAGTGATTCATTGAGAAATACCAACTGCCAGAAGTAGCCAACAGTTTTTTCGACGAAATAGAGGAATATTGACGTTAGTTAGTTTCAGAGAAGTGAATCAGGTTTTTAGTTTTTAATGCCCAAAGTAAAAGTCTCTGATTATATGAAGAATTCTATTAGTTATTGAGCCGAGAGGGTGGACCATGTAGCAGAGTTTAAAATTCTTGAAGTAAAGATTATAAAGTATTTATTTATTCTATTTTACAAATTAGGCTGAGCATATACAGTGGATCCAAGCTTATTTCGTGCAAGAAAAAATCGAATTTTTAATTTGATACTGCTACTAAACCAGCAGAGATATCAAAAAAATTTAAACGCAGTAATGTTAAGAATGTCGCATATTATTAAAATAATAACAAAAGTTTTTATTAATTTAAAAAATAAAAGAATTTTTCATACAAAAACTAAAAAATAGGGCAACTCCGACGCACAAGCTTATTTCGTGCAAGCACTTTAACGGTTATTAACTCCAAACTAGGACTTTTAAATCCATTTTTTTTTCTTAATACTAGTAAAAATATATTAACAAAAGCATATTTATAAGTTTTCGAGGCTGGGGGCACCCAAAAATTACGGATTAACGAGGATTTTCAAAGTATGGCGCCACGAATAATAGTCAATAGTTATTGAGCAAAGCGAATTAGTCCTTAAACATTTTAAGGATGGGAAACAACAGGAAATGGTTGCCTTAAGCCCTAGTACAAACCCATACATAACCCAAACGCTTTTTTGCGAAAATCGGGTGGCAGATAAGGGCCGTAAAGCTCCGAACACAATTTTTAATGACCACGAGGAGAGACGTATTGTCCGAAAAGTGACGGAAGGTGTATAAAGCCAAGCCGACTCTGCAGTCGTTGAAGATGGCAAAAGACAGGAAGAAGATTATCAAGTCCCGGGCTCGAGAGTCTGCGGCTCTTATGTGAAATTTTATGTGATTTGAAATAGATTTAGTAGTCGTCCAGCAAATATAAATTATTTACATTTTTTAATGATTAAGAATAACAAATGGTTATGATGTATATATTACTGGTCAGGATCAGTAGCCGAGTCGATTGACATGTCCGTCTGCCCGTATGCACGCTGCGAGACATAAATTACGATTGGGAATGTGGCACAATTTATTAATTAATATAATATAATATGAAGAATTTTGAATAAAATGAATATAAAGTGGAGAAGGAATAGGAAGTATTCCCATCCCATAAAGAAGGTTCAAGTATTCCTCATTACGCCCAACAACCGAGTTGATCTGTCCACTGATCAGGTGAGATATTCCCTTCAAATTCTTATATTAATAAACTTCATTCCAGCATTTGTTTACTTCGTCATTGCCCCCAGCCTCACGTTTCAATCTTCTAGGAGTGGATATCGAATCGGGTCAGATCACTCAACTAGGTTGTAACGGAACTTTTCAAGTGGCCAAATCCCAAACTGATTAACAAGTCGGCCGTCATCTTCCTTTACGGCGACTAATCTTCCATTAGAGTCATAAACTTTCTGAGCGTCTAAAGCTTCTTCTTTCTCACTTGCTTCCATGCGAATCAGCCAATCCAGTGCCATGGAAAATTTCCTATGATCTTCTGGAGATGCGGCCATCAGTTCTTCGACAAACTTAATTTCCTTCTTAAGGAACTCGTACATCTTAATCCGTTCTTGACCCTTTTTGTAAGTGCGATCAACCTCATACATTTTCGAAAACATCTTTGAGAGCTCGCTCTTCCCTTGTCCTGAAGTTGGTGCTGGTTGTTCTTCAGCTATGTACAGTATGTCCTCCGCGCTCTCTTCCTCTTTGAATAACTCTGGAAGCACGAACTTTCCATTTCGCTTTCCTATTTTCTTTTGATTAAGGCCCTCTACGAGCGACTGGCATACAAACTTCGACGCCTTGTGCCTAACTCCAACTGCCATCTTACCCTGCGTTAACATACATTTATGAATCTTAGAAAAAAGAGCCACTTCGGAGTGAATCCTTACCTCGAAGTGGGCCACCAACTTGCTCAACAGGACTGGTCCTCCGATTTCAGACATGACCTTGCAAACATCGGCCACAGGGAAATGGAGAGTAAGGTAAGTGTCCGAAGAATCGTCAACACTTGTCTCCGGGACATCATTGGAAAAGGGAACACCTTGCGACCTGTGACAAAAGTCCACATTTAATCACTTGTAACTCCGATCTGTTTCTTAACCACGAATGCCTATATTGTTCTCACTTACTCCATTTTTAAATATAATTTTTGCTTCTTATTGAAATGAAAAGTTTAAATAAAATATTCCTGTATTCGTTCCAAATTTACTTGTAGAAAGGGATGACTATACCTTTCAGATTGACTTGAGTTTGTTTTCTAAGGTGACTTTATATTTAAATTTCTACCAAACAAATTTGTAAGTCAAAACTTGTAACTAATGCTAAGCTGGACACGAATATAAGCAGAGCACATTCTTTACATTCACAAATTGCGAAAAAGTTTCCGAACTCATCGGCCGTCTGTTCGCAATAGAAGATAACTGATAGACGTTGTACCTGATTATGGCGCTTGTTTTTAATTCACTTTTGCATTACCGCCCCTTTCTGCCACCCGATTTTCGCAAAAAAGCGTTTGGGTTATGTATGGGTTTGTACTAGGGCTTGAGGCAACCATTTCCTGGGTTTTCCCATCCTTAAAATGACTAATGGACTAATTCGCTTTGCTCAATAACTATTGACTATTATTCGTGGCGCCATAGTTTGAAAATCCTCGTTAATCCGTAATTTTTGGGTGCCCCCAGCCTCGAAAACTTATAAATATGCTTTTGTTAATATATTTTTATTAGTATTAAGAAAAAAAAATGGATTAAAAAGTCTTAGTTTAGAGTTATTAACCGTTAAAGTGCTTGCACGAAATAAGCTTGTGCGTCGGAGTTGCCCTATTTTTTAGTTTTTGTATGAAAAATTCTTTTGTTTTTTAAATTAGTAAAAACTTTTGTTATTATTTTAATGATGTGCGACATTCTTAACATTACTGCGTTTAAATTTTTTTGATATCTCTGCTGGTTTAGTAGCAGTATCAAATTAAAAATTCGATTTTTTCTTGCACGAAATAAGCTTGGATCCACTGTAAATGGTACCCCTAATGGAGGATTACAGAGGTACTGGTTACTGTGGCCTGCGACTTAGGCTGTCAGTTTTGCAAAACTAGTAACTAAATTATGTAAATCTTATTGTGATATTTTCCATATTCGATTATATATCTGATTGTTTATGAAATTATAGGTTTTAGTCAGGAGATTATACAATTAAAATTGTTTCAAAAACGGAACACAAGATTCTACACGGTTTAAAATGGGTAACATGTTTTTATATATTAATAGATTAGTTGATTAATATTTAAAAACAAATTTAATAATTTAAAATGTTTATAAGAAGCAAACCACGAGAGTGCACTGAAAAGATTAATAATTGGAGTAGGTCACCGAACGGTCATTCTAACTTTTCGTATTAGGTCACGATGTATCGATAGTTATACGATAGCAATTAACTTGATGTAACACGAGAGGAGATATCGAAAAGATATTTTGAGAATAACGGACTTGAGGAAGAAAGAGAACATTGCCACAAAGTAAACAAGCAAACAACAAACAAACATTTTAAAATCGAAACACAAGATTCTACGCGGTTTATTTTGTTTATTATTATTCAATTATTATTATTCCTAAAACAATCTATTTATTTTTCTATAAAAATATATACAATGTTTAATTCTATATTAATTATTGAATGTTTAAAATGGACAAATAGCATTTTGCTTATTTTTAGAAACTTTTCGAATAATTTACTGCCAAGCACGGGAATGTAAAAAGGTCTCAATAAATTTCCACTACAAGGAAAGCAGACAAAAATCGAATCTTATATCGATTGCTTAACCCTTCAGCTAGCAGGCAAATCTTTTGCTTAATCTATATGAAAATCCGGTCAAATTTCAAGTTTCCAAAATCAAACAAATTATTTGAAAAGAAATGGGTAAGAAGTTCTGCTATACGGACCTAAAGGCAGCAACCCAGACTGAACCGCGTATCAAAAATGGAAATGGCCACCGCCGGGGCAGTTTGGACTCTCAATTGGAACGGGACATAGGGGCCGAGCAGGAAGAGGATGACGGCGATGATGCTATGGTGTTTGGAAACGCAAGGAACCCTCTACAGAGTGTGTTTAAAACAGTTTAAAACATGTTAACTTTAGTCTATTTTGGATATTTTTCTTAGAGAACAACGCATTGGATAGCATGGCCAACGGCTACTTGCAGTTGGTCCATCAAATTGAGGCTCATCTTTACACGCCACCTTCTCTAGTCGAGGTTGGAGAAAAACGCGAGGAGGGTGGAGAGATACGAGGAAGCTCGCAGACCGAAGATGAAATCTCGCAGTCTTCGGAGGATTCCAGTCAGCTGAAAATTGGCTTTGTCGATTTGTTTCGCCGCAGTCTTCATTTCGAAAGCTTGGGAATTCCGCTTACTCCCTTAGAGCTGTACTCCATGGAATTTCAGAGAAGTGAAAAACAAGAAGGAAGGATTCTGGGCGGTTATCGACCTGGCACTAAAGAGCAAAAGATATCACGCGAAACATCCAGTTCTCATCCATCTGAACTTATAAAAAATACATATCAACCGCCTTCATTTACAGGAATGAATTTCCGATCCTCGAATCCGAAGTACATGGAAAACTTTCAGGATAAAAGTCAACCCGATTTAGAAAGAGAACGTATTTTTGAAGACGAAGATGTAGAGTTATCCAAGTATGCACCCAAGTTCAATAGTCGATTTCTAGAAAGCCTTCCCGATGCAAGCCCGATAAGAAGGTTGCCAAAGAGAAGTTCTTCCCCAGATTTAGATCACTGTCCTGGCTCACATTTTAAGCCTACTACTAGCTCACTCCGATTACCACCAAAAAAACCAAACCCAAGTCCCATTGTTCAAGAACCATCCCAATATTCCATCAAATTTTCAGAGCAAACTCATTTCCCAAATCCCATACAAGATTCCATTAACTTTTTAGAGCAATCTGAGTTCCTATACCCCGTTAAATCTCAAAGGTCCACTAAAGTTCCGGTTCAAAACCCAAGTAAAGTGCCAGGGAAAAAGGACAATGCTGAGAGGAAACGTCATTCTAAGTGTGCAATTCAAACTGGAAGGAAGCGATCTGTAAGCCCAGAGAACCGTAAAGCTTATAGTAACAGTTGTGAAAAGTCCCTTAAGATGGATTTTAGAGGCTCCAGAGAACCAAGTGATTCCCCAAAATGTTCCAGATCGAAAAAGAAAGGCACATGGACCAAAATGAACGTATCCAAGTTGTCTTTAAATTCTCGTTGGGTGCCTTATAATCCAGAAAGTAAGCCCAATCGGACTAAGCCATCAAACACCTGCCCACTTCATGGACATTCGAGCTCCAGGCAACGCAAACCCTTAACTTTAGAGACCCTATTGGCCCCCAGGCGCCTTAGAAATTGCAGTGATGGTGAGCTGTTCCAGAATGGGACCCATCAGCTCAATTTTAGGGGTAAGAGAACCCCTGATCCTGTAAAGAGTTCCAATTTGGATGTTTTCGATAAGCACCTAAAAGGCCTGCTGAAAAGTGAGCCCAAGAAGTCATGTTTGAAGAAGTCCTCCAATCCAGTTAGCGAAACCGAATGCAACATGGTGCCTCTGCACTCCGATACCTTCACGGATGTCTGGAAGCAATCTAGATTGGGCAGGGAGTATTCGCAACGAAAACAACGAAATGGGGGACTCTATAGTCGGGCCGATAAGCTAAGGTTCGAGACCATAGATCGACTGGATGCTGGTTCTGCGGGCCTTCCACTTTTTAAGGATTCGGATCAAACAATGGAGAGGACACAGTACTTCGTGTCAGAGTTCGATAAAATGAGTCGAGCGGAGAGGAGGCATGATCTCGAGTTGAGAATGGCCCAATTGCGTTGGGTGCAGTGCACCTCGGATAAGAAATATCGCAAGCACTTTAGGAAGCAGGAAATCAAGGTCAAGCCGGTGGATACTAATTCAGAGCAATTCTTGTGCCCTTTTGGCCACGACCATTGTCCAAAAGTGATGAACGCCACTCTATTGGGACACTTTGTGTCACAGCATTTGGATGATCCGGGAGTTGAGCTGCGTGAGATTTTCGAGGACGAGCGGACACTGATCATCTTCAGTCCCAAAGCTTTTGAGCTGGGCATCAATACCTGCATGTCCGTGCTTGTCTACGGTGGAGTACGGGACCAGCCTTGTAGTCTCCCAGGAGCCAGATTCATGCCCACGCGAAATATTAACTTATCTAAAGCCTACGCCCATTTCGACATGCACCTGCCGTTATTCGTGGTGATCTGTAGGAATCGCCTGAGCAGCATCGAGGGCAAGAAGGTGAGGTTCGACGATCTGGAAAAGGGGGACGAGGATGTGCTCGCCCTGTGGATGGTGAGCATGGATCTGCCTATTTCTGTTCATGTGTTGATGACTATACTCAACCGACGAATGGATATCACCAGGAGTTCCATCATGAAGGTCCGAGGAATCCACAAATCCCACAATTCCCAGGAGTTCATGCACACCAGCAAACAGTATATGCGACTCACTGATCGTGACTTGCGAGTCCTTACCAACAATCATACGGAGCCAATCTATATGGAGATCTCTGTCAAGGAGTACGCCGGTATATATCCCCGCCATGATTAATGTGATCGTTAAGACCTCGTCTGAATGCCAAGCATATTCCCCTAAAACCCCATTTAAAACTAATTTGTGGCTAACCATTCCAATTTTTTATAAGCAAATAAGACTATATTTTCACATTTAATATTTATGTAAATAGATACATTATTTGAAATACAACATTGTCCAATCTAATCAGTTATTGATGCCTTTAAGTTGCAGAGCAGACCAAAAAGCTACCCTCGTCCGCTTCTATTTCTCAGTCATTTATTTTATTGACTGGACAAACAAATACTAATTTTATTTAGCTTGCTAATGCTTATCAGTTGGAAACTGATTCGATCACTCGGCTAACGATCCACAGGGCTTAGCTGAAATCATTTCCGAATCCCTATCTTATCGCAATTGTCGACCCTTAACAACAAAGTTGACTTCGCCGAGTGCTTTTCTATTTGAAGTTGAGGCTGAAATTTTGAGTGCCTTCAGCAGCTTAACTAATCAAATCTTTTATTTGAGTGATTTAAAAACTACTTGAGGTCAATTCACTTCTTCTTTAATGTTACTAATTAAATATTAGAAGGTTTTAATGATATAAGAGAGATATAAGATAGATAAGCAATGATTTTTATTTTTTTATTAAGCTAAGTTTTATTTGATTTTGTTTTTGTTCTGGGTTACGGCTGTTATATCAATTGTTCCCCAAATTTTTTAAAAATTTAAAGAATTCTTGAAAGACAATAGCCCTACAGACCCTTTAAAGTCTTTAGGATAGAAAGTTCCTTCTTCTATCCGTAACAAGAGGAGTAATATTTATATTAATAATGTTATAATATACATATGTACATATTTATATAAAGGTATAATATTGAACATGTATGTATGTAATATATCCTTCACTTATGGAGAATATGTTTTGAAGGGTATACCGTCATTATTGAATGGTACAGTGGCTCATAATTTTTTCGTTCACCCGTGAGTTGAAAGCTTAATCTTTAATATCTCGATCTTTGGAATTGTTGTATTTTTTCAAAATTATGAAGTGTACAAATAATAATACTGTTTTGTGTTATGAAGGAATTCTAATATTAAACTTAAAACTTGTAATTTTAATGTTTAAAATATATGCTTGAATTATCTTTCAGTTGAGATTTCAAATTCCGTTACATACAGATTTCTCGAAATATTAAAGAATAAGCTCGCAACTCACGGGTGTACGAATAAATTATGTGCCGACTGTATGTAAGAGGAGGCGCTACGATGGAACATATACAGTGACGAACTAAATTATTGGCACAGAAGGCTTCATGAACTTTAAGGCACGATTTCTCCCCTTAACATGCATATATTTAAATAAACAAAAATTTATACATATAATATTATAAAAACATAACACGACAAAATTTATTTCAACTTTTTCTCTTCAATGGTTGATTTTTAAAAATTAAATAACATAAATAAGAGGTGAATTTGCCTGAACAAAATTATTGGCACACTTATTGAAAAACTTAAAAATAAATGAAAATAACTCAAATTAATACTTTGTGGGTAAGCCATTTTGTTTTATAAAGGCTTCCAACCGTCTTGGCCCCGAAGAAACGAAATTTTGGGTTGTTTCTGCCCCTTTTTCTATTAGAGCCACCTTCAGCCCGGACTTTGTTTTTATCGCGCGTTTTTTAATATGTATCGATATACTAAAAATGTTTCAAATCGAACTATTATTTAGCGAGAACTATTAAAAGACGTCACCATCACTTATTAACCGAGCTAGCAAGAGGTGGCGCTTCGTAAATTTTCCGTATATATAAAATAAAAATCTTTATATTTAAAAAATAATATTTATATAAGAGTTCTTGCCTGCTGGCCAGTGTAATAAGTTATCACTAATATATGACATGCCTTGCATTCAATAACGCACACTTAACTATAACTTAACAACAACAAAAGCTCTCTTTTAATATTATATTGTTGATAAAATATCGGTTAAAATGTTGATATTAAAATTACAGCTCTGCTGATAAGGATATATCGATATATCACCGAAAAATAGTGTAACCTTACCATCTGCCTGAAAATTGCAGACTCATTATTTATTTTGCATTCATTCTTATAGGACATAAAAATGAATCTCAGGATGAATAATCAGTGTGAAAATAATGATACGGGATCTTCAGTGGCCGAGGGTGCCACCACATTGTCGAATGGCTTATCTGCTACAGCTCCTTCTGGTGACCAGACGGTAGGAAGTTCTTCTTCTACAGTAGTTTTGCTCAACGATGATGAATCTAAAGATGTTGTACCGAAGGGTAAAGCTTTTAACGGCGGTGGGTCAACAAATGAGGTGCCTAAAGATGATTCTAACGGTGATGATTTCAAAGATGTTCTACCAAAGAGTGACGCTTCTAATGGGCCTACAGTGGCGGTGCCCATCGACAATGATTCTAACGTTGGTGGTTCCAAAGACATTTCTCCTAAGGGTAATGCTTCTGACGGCGGTGAGTCTGAAGTTCTTGTGATTGAAGGTGATGATTCTAACGATGTTGATTCTATAGATGTACTGAGGACTGATGGTTCTAAGACTAGTGGATCTGAAAGTGGCGACGACGAAGCAGGGAAAACTACAGCCAAGCCAAGCAGCGGGGAAGGGGTTTCGCGCAGTACCCAAAACCAAACTGGAAATTACAATCCGGACTCGGAACCTTCACCAGCGAAAAAGACCCGTCAAGATCTCCCACCTGGAGCTATTGAACTGTTTATAAAGAGCCTAGCAGAAGAAATAAAACGCGGTGATAAAGCTCAAGCTGACAATGGGGAGGATGTACCTCAGATTGAAGTCGATCAACGCGAGTAAGGAGAATTCGTGTAAGATCAGAAGGAGAGTGATTATCGCGAACCATAAAAACCCGATTAAGGGGCTCGAAATCAACTATGTATGTCTCAGAATATTAAATTAAATGAAATTGAATATAATATTGTTGGTTCCGAATAATTCAGAAAACATACAAAGCAAACATAAAATATACATGTTCTATTAAGATTATGCACCGAGCACTAAGAAGGAGATTGATCTAGCCGATGAAGGAGTTCCAATTCATATCGAATATATATCAAATAAAAATAAAGAAGAATTGTAACCTAAAATGTTTCCATTTTTAAGCATTTAATAACCATATTTTAAAAAGTTCTTGCCCGCTGGCCAGTGTAATACAGTGGATCCAAGCATATTTCGTGCAAGAAAAAATCGAAGTTTATATTTGATACTGCTACTAAACCTAACTATTTTGATAGAAAATTTGGTGCAAAGCTTGGGGTTTTCCTTCACTTTTCGGACAATACGTCTCTCCTCCTTGGATCCACCGTATGTTATAGCCAATGTATGGAATGTTTCGCATTCAACAAACAATGCACGACAGCGCTTTTTTAAAAGCGCTTTTTTAATATTATATTATTGGTAAAATATCGATTCAAGTGTTGATATCAAATTACAACTCTGCTGGGTTAACCCTTTAATAGTGATATATCGATATATCACTGGAAATAAATGTAACCTTAACATCTGCCTGAAAAGTGCAGACTCACTATATATTTGGCACTCATCCTTGTAAGACATACAAAAATATTTCAGGATGAATAATCAGTGTGAAAAGAATGATCCGGGCTCTTCAGTGGCCGAGGGTGTCACCACATCTTCGAATGACATACATGTTACCGCTCCTTCTAGTGCACAGGGGGTAGAAGGTTCATCAAACGAAAATGGAGTTAAGTCAACAGTTGATTTGCTCAACGATGATGATTCTAACGTTGGTGATTCCAAAGATGTTGTACCGAAGAGTGAAGCTTCTAACGGCAGTGGGCCTACAGTTGTGGTGCCTGCAGAAGATTCTAACGTTGGTGAATCCAAAGATGTTGTTCCTAAGAGTGATGAGCCTAATGCCAGTGAGGCAAAACTTCTGGTGCTCAACGATAATGAGTCTGACGTGGGTGGTTCCAAAGATGATGTACCGAATACTGATGCTTCTGACGGCGGTGAGTCTAAAGTTGTTGTGTTGATGATGATTCTAACGATGGTGATTCTATAGATGTACCCAAAACTGGTGATTCTAGGACTAGTGGATCTGAAAGTGGCGACGCCAAAGCAAGGAAAACTACAGCCAAGTCAAGAAACGAGAACAGGGTTCGCCGCAGACCACAATCCGAAGATGAAAATTACAATCCGAACTCCCAACCTCCTCCAGCAAAGAGGGCTCGTCGAGATCTCCCGCCTGGAGCTATTGAACAGGTTTTGAAGAGTGTAGCAAGCAAATCTGCTGCTCAAGGGGAAACCGATGTAAATCGCGGTGCTGAAGTTAAGGTTGATAATAGGGAGAATGCTCCTCAGACTGAAGTCGATCAACGCGAGGGAGAAGAAGTCGTTGAGGGTCAGGAGGAGAGAGATTAACCAGAACCCTATAAACACGAAGAGGGGGTTCGAAACCAACTATGAATATCTCAATATTTTAATAAATTTAAGTTTAATATAATATATTTGGTTCCGAATCATCTAAAAAACATAGAAACCAAACATAAAATATACACATATTAAGGTTATGAACCGATCCATAAAACTGCGTGGGAGAAGAAGTCGTTGAGGGTCAGGAGGACAGTGATTAACCAGAACCCTATAAACTCGTTGAAGGGATTCGAAACCAACTATTAATATCTCAATATTTAAATAAATTTAAATTTAATATCATAAAACTGCGTGGGGAGAAAAAGTCGTTGAGAGTCAGGAGGAGAGTGATTAACCAGAATCTTTTAAACCCGATGAAGGGGTTGATTCCGAATAATGCAAGAAACATACAAAATAATCATAAAATATACACATATGAACTGTGCCATTAAAAATGCGAGGGAGAAGAAGTCGTTGAGGAGGAGGCGATGAGTGTGCTAACTACACTTTTTTTAAAAGATATTTTCCATACTCTTTTCTCATGGCGTAAAAGGGTATAATGTATTCATTGAAAAGTATGTAAGATATAGAAGATAGCGTTTCTGACCCTATAAAGTATATATATTCTTGATCTGAATCCATAGTCACGTTGATAAAGCCGTGCGCATTTGTGCGTATGAACGCTGAGATCTCAGGAACTAAAACAGAACCAATGCAGATTCTTGAGATGCCTGCGCAACGCATGTTGCTATTTATGCCACACCCACTCTTGCGCCCAGAAAATAGAAAAATGTTGTTCAAATATGGCATTCCTTTTTGTTGTCTGTCAAGAGTCTCCTTTAGGTAAAACCAGATGTTTTTGATGTTCAAAAATTCCTAAATTTAAAGAAGCAAACATAATCAAGAAAATAAAAAAATTAAGTAAAATCAAAATGAAAGGGAATACAACTATTTTTTCTAAATACTTCAAGTTATTTGTATAAATTTAAGTAGTTAATTTTGAATTTATTTTCGTTTAGTTGATTTCGACGGTGAGCTTTATGTTTTCAGATCGGCAAAAGAGCAGATGATCACTTTGCAGGGCTATTTAAACGTCTCTTGCTCACTAATTTAGACTCTTAAAAGCTTTTCCGTTAATCTCACTGAATGTTTACAGACTTTTAAGCTATCTGTCTCGCTCTCGCCTTTCTATCTCTCGCTCTCTGCCATAGAGGCATTTTCTCTCTCACTGCAGCGGCGGCAAGCTTCTGGTTTTATTTATTTTTTATTTGCCAGCCCAAAATGCTATTGAACTCACACGCACACACACACACACACAACTGCACACACACACAGTGGCGCATTCACACATATAGCCAGATTGCCACGTACACACACCTACAGATGGGTCATATTTAAATATGTAAATTGCCCAAAAACAAAAATAGGTTTCTTTCATATTATAATTCCCGATAAATGTGAAATAATAATTATAAAGACTTGGAGTTGAACCGAAAATCGGCCAAATTATAAAGACCACCCTCTGGCGGACCACCCAACGCAGGACCACCGGGGACACGTGTCCTGAAAATCCAGACCTACATCAACAAAAGCAGAACCCAGCACCGAATCCCGACACCCGACTCCCGACTCCCGAATCCCGATTCCCGAAGCCGAAAAACTCGTTATGCGCCGCTGCAAAGCTATCCCCCTTTAGACCCGATTTCCCCCATGGAACCCCCATATCATTGCTCCCGTTTTTGTTACTGGTTTTCGGCTGGCTTTTTCCCTCCGCTTCTCCATTCCAGGCGCATTTTCTGGAAAATTGTGTCAAGCTGACGACACAATTTTCAAATCGCATGCCCGGAGTTTTGCACATTGCAGTTTTCCGGCTGCAAGTCGGCGAAAATGCGGCGCTGCTGAGCGAACCGTGAGCGGGAAAATCGGAAGAGAGAGAATGGGAGAGAGCGAGAGTGAGAAGTGCCGTTCTTTTGCCGGCATGCCACACAAAATAATAACGGTACAGTAGCCCAACAGGAAGTGGTGCATTAACACGCGCCGCTTTTCACCTCGAAAATTCGTGCTAAAATCAACACAAAAAAGAAAAGTGGAAAACTTCGCGTAACAGTAAACAACAAAAATATTTTAGAGTGTTTGTGTGCTTGAGTGTGTGCGAGTGTGTGTGAGTAGTGGCGAGCATGTGTGTGTTTGGAATGCGGCATTCGATTGCATCACCTAAATAAAGAAGAAACAACAACAAGAAATGCCTTTTGTGTTTTTTTGTGAATGTGAAGGTGTGTGTGTGTGTGTGTGTGTGTGGATTTTTTGTGCATTTTCTTTAAGCCAATTTCAATTTTTCCTGGGAGTTTTGTGGTTTTTTTAAATATTTTTTTTTCGGTGCTGCATATTTGTTGAAACTCTCAAAGAAAGTAGAGCACTAAACGAAGACAAACTTAAGGAGGAATATTACTCGGTGTTTTCTTAAATACTTTTTATTATATTTTAGGTTTAAAATATCTAGTTTAAGCTTAAGTTTTTAAATTGCGTCATAATACGTAACTTAAAATAGGAACTTACTTATTTTATAAAAATACAAATAAAGTAATAATAATTATTTTTAATATGTTTTTAAATATATATAAAATATATGTTCTTTATTATTGTTTTTACTTTTATATTCAAATATGATTAAAATTCAAAACTTAAAATTGATTAAGTGGTAAAAATTAAAATATTTTGAGAGACACTTTCAACTGTAAACTGAACTGCGTTTTTATAATAATATTTTTAAACCGAATTAAAAAAACTAAAAATTTACAAATATTTTATAGAAGCACTATTTAACTTTTTTAAGCCAACTTTATTATAAAAACAATTTTCCTAGAAAATGCCCATATAAATATGCAATATTTTTGTTAACCGCAAAAAATGGCAAAACCCGGCTAGGCCAAAATCCCCACAAAGGAGGAGTAAGTGAGCTGCAGGGGGCAGAGAGTGGGAGAGAGAGAGAGGGGATGCTCGGCTCGGAAAACGTGAAAAGCACGTGCAGCACGAAAAGCGACGGAAAAGCGGCGAAAACTTTTCGGTGTGAATGCCTTCTGCACAGACACAAAAACGTGTTTTTTTCGGCCAGCGCCGACGACGGCGTCGACTGCGCTGCTAGTGCTAACAGCGCTGCAGTAGCGAGCGATCTCTGTTAGGCGGCGAATGTTAACTGGGGCAAAATGATAGCAGACTGCTTGTCCAGCTTCTGTTGCCTATTCTCAGGAGCTGAGGATTTCTGATATTTCGGGAATAAATGTGATGAAGACAAGAAATCTTTAATGGTTAATATCATAAATTTGAAGATTTGCTTTTAAGCTCGGTTACTATTATATCGAAATCTTAAACTAAATTTAAAGAAAGTCGGGGAAAAGCTTGAGATTTGACCAATAAAGAAGACTAATTCTTAGGTTTTATATTTTATTTATTAAAAAAATTGTTTAATATATATTTTAAAAAATTCATTCTTTTTTATGCCTCTTTCATAAATAGAATATTTTTTTTTCTGGAAACTGCTTAAATATGTTTCGACTAATAAAGACTCTATTTATAACTATTTTTTTACATTTTATTTTTTCGATATTAATTGTTAAATTTATATCAATTCCTACTGATTACTGTTATTGAATGAAAATATATTACAAAAAATAAGTTTAAACAGATTTTTATTGCTTTCAATCTTTTTGTTACTTTTATTTTCCGCCTTTATCCCTCAACTCCCTTTCTGTCTTGCGATTTCTCTTGGTAAAAAATTAGCGCTTCAATGTAGGCAATTTGTCAATTACTGATGGCAATGCAGCAGACGCACAACAACAAGACAAACAACTGCAGCAGGGGCATGCCTTCTTCTCTCGCACACTCTCCCTTCGGAAAGCTCTGCTCTCTCGCAGGAGAGAGTGCGGCAGTGACGCCGGCAGAGCGCCCCGAAGCGGCTTCGTGATAGTTCGTACGGCAGCCGAACATCTTGCCTTCCCGCTCATATCCACGTGCTCTTACCGCAATTGTCTGTCTGCCGAAGACTTCGGCTCAACTTCGGTTGGCGCTTCGGCTGCGCTGCCGACGTTGGCGGCGCCGTCGGCTTTTCAGCTGAATTTCGTTTTTCCGAATTTCCCTGCAGCAAAAACAGTTTGCATTTGTTTTTCCGCGTGTTCGCACACGTTCACGGGTCTGCGTTTTGATTTTGTCTTCTCAGATTCTCATATTCTCCACCTGCCACACAGTCACATCCAAATCCATTCAAATTCTCCACAACTCTCTTCTTGCGGCTTTTTTTTATTTGTCAGCCGAAACACCGTTATTGCACCGCGTGTGTGTGAGCCAGTGTGTGTGCGTGTGTGTAAAGGATTCGAGAAGCTATACTTGGGATTACTAGTTTCTTAGGCTACTTTCGAGTTTAACCGACGAGTTTAGCAGGCATTTCAGGAAGTTCCAAAGTGATTTCCTTTTTGATTTTTGTTTAAGGATTTTTATAAGATTGCAAAATGAATTTTTAAAGAGATTTAAGCAAAGTTTTTGGTTTTCCAAGATCAGGCTTCGTTACCAAATATTTTAACATACATTTTGTTGTAATTTTTGAGAGTTTGTTAAGAAGTTCTTCGAAGAATATTTAAAGTATGAAAAACGAGTTTTTTAACTTGAAGTTTGTTGCCAAAGGTCATTTTTAGAAAAAATTAAAGTAAACTATTAAAAATATTAAACTAAAATCCAGTTTTTTATGTTAACTTTCACATCCTTGAAGCTTTGTTAAAAAATTGGGTAAATAGATAAATTAAATATAAAAATTGCAAATTTGTTCCTTAAGAAAACGTGAGCTTATAGAACGGATAGAAGGATAGCCTGTTCACTTCAAGCCAATAAAATTATTATATTCGAAATTTTTCTTATATATTAAGTTCAAATTAAAATTTTAAAAATAAATATATTTACAAGGATAACGTAACTTCTTTGCCTTTAGACACAGAAATTCAAATATTTTATTTTAAACTTCATAAATAAGGGAGAAAATAGGAACAAACATCAGATAAATATCCATTAAATATTTTTCAAAACAGTGATTAACAACGTTTTTTAATACCAATTAAAATTATTTTAAAAATGATTTTAACTTTAAAAGTTAATTTGCAAAAAAAGTTAAAAAATTAAAAAAACGTAATTTCGAAATTTCGCATTTTGGCTAAGTTTGAGGGCAATGCAGTTTGTAGAGAACCGAAACTCTCCAAAAGTTGCAACTCCGCAGGGCCGACGGTAACTCTCTCGCTGCCGGCGCCGCTGTCGGTTTCGCTGCCGCCGTCAACGACGTCCGAGCGGGCAGAGCAGAGCAGAACCGAAACAGAAACAGAGTCAGAGTCAGAAACAGAAACAGAATCAGAAACAGAAGAAGAAAAGTCGACAAGAGGAGTCGTGTCGAGATCGAAGTGCCGAACGGAACGGAACGGAACGAACGGAGCTGAACGGAAGTGCAGTGCAAAGCGGAAACGGAAGCTGGAGCAGTATTCCCACTTAGTGCTTGGCACGCACACACGCCAGTTCGCTCACACACACTCGCACACACTCTGTCGAGCGGTCGAACACGCACGCACACACTCACGTGCGTTTGGCGGGGTTACCCATTATATTGTTTCTTAATTTCTCTGCATTTACAACGCGTGCAAGCGACCGACTTTTTTTTGCAAATTTTTTTTAACGTGCTCTCTTTCCATATATATATATCTATATATAAAAAAATACGAAATAAAAACAAATATATAAAATACAAAATAATTAAAAAAAAAAAAATAAAATAAAAAACAACCCCCACAGCAGCGAGAACAACAACGTGCGGTGTTGTGAGCTTGCGGCAAAAATCAAATGAAAGTCCAACCGCAAAGTAAAGTAAAGCGAAATTCGACAAAAGTGGCAACATGCAGTGCGTGTGCATAGAAAAACCAGATATACAGCGGCCACAGGGTAAAGTACTTTGGACAAGTGAAAAATCCCCCAAACGTCAGTGAAAATCGAAGGAGAAACCAACACGGCATACGCAGAGAAAATCGCTGGAAAACCGAACAAAATGTTTGGCAGCCAAACCGGCTGCCTTTGAGGCTGAGTGAGTGGCTCAAGGTGTGTGAGTCTATCTATCTATCTATCTATCTATCTATTTTTCCCAACCTTCTATCCACATATCCATGTTTAAAAAGATCGAAAATAATACACCCGAGTCTTCTTGGTTTATTTTTCTTGTGTTTTTTATGAGCCAAGTCCGCTGATTTGTGGCCAATTTTCTGGCCGAACACTTCCGCTTCTGGATATATACGCGCTGAGTGGAATGATCTATGAATCTCGCCGGTGAAAATGAATATCAAAGACTGTTTTATATAAATAAATATTAGGACAGAGATATTTTTGCCAATCAATGGAATTCCGAAGTGGCAATGAGGCAACGATTTCTTTTAAATCGCCAATTGTTTATCAATTGTTCAATAATAGAAAATGAACAATAAAATATGCCAAAAATACTTAAAAAGAGCAATTGCTCATCGTAAAAGATTTCGATGGCTTGTTTACGGCCTGCCTGCCTGATTATTATAAACCACAGGTTTTATTCGAAAATTCCGGGTTGCTTGTTCTATTTATTGTGCAATTTTAAAGGTTAATATATTCCTAATTTATCTGTTTTTAATATTAATTCTATTTAAATTGCTTTTAAACTAAGATTAATGGTATTTCTTCGATCAACTTAACTTTTGTGCTTTCTCCAACTCCTGGTTAGGCCTTAAAAATATTATAAAAAAATAGTTTAAATTCCCTTTCGACTCTCATTTGCAAGCAAGTTTATAAACAATCCCTGCCGTCAGCTGCCGCCGCTAGACAAACATAAACAAAGCCAAGAAACAAAAAACCATCCCGCGAAATGGGCAAAAGTTACAATATTTTTCTAAAATAAATGCCGAGTTGATTTGATGATTTGTTCATGTCTTTCGGCATCTTTCCTAGGCCATCGCTCATTGAGAAGCTAGCGAACCGCGGCGGGAAAAACATCTCTCTCGATCTCGACGGACTCTTCCTAACGGTCTATTAATAATTTTGATGCATTGCCATCTCCCTCTGGCTCTTCCCATTGTCCAGATCGCTCTTACGCCAACTTTCGAGGGCTTTGGGCCCTGATATATGACTGTTTCGACATTAACTGCAAATTGGACAAATTCTTTTATCTCTGCGGCCGGAATTTGGCAATGCCTGCTGTGTGGCATTAAATTAATAAAATTCCCTCGAGATTTATTATTCTGATCAAAGCTAAATTTCCTTGGTATTTAAGAAACTGTTTTTAGAAGTCGTTAAAGAAAAGGCGGCTTTCTGATTCCCTCTGAAATCGAAGATCTCTTGGTTTTCTTGGTTAGTTTTCATGAAAATTGTACAGGAAAACCTTACCTTATCTCAGTTTAAAAGACCTTTTGGGATATACTTTCAAAATTTCAGATACATCGATGAAAAACTGTCCAAGTTAGACTCCCAGTTAGACTGACAGTTATTGAAATTATGAAAATTTATAAGAAAACCCTCTTAGTTGCTTAAAAAACGATAAATAAATGTTTAATTTTCCCAAAAAGTAGGTTAAGAAAGACAGTCAATCGAATTAAGAGTCCTTTTCAGTAATCAAAAACTATTTGTAAATCCATTTCTGCTTACTATTTAAATCTAAAAAATTAAATAAATTTAAAATAAACTTAAACTCCAACTCAGCGGAATGATTTTGCCATCACCACAGCAGAGTTCTGTCTAAATAAAAATAGAAGTAAATTTATTGGCTTTTCGTTATAAATTATCTGCCTATTCAAACGGAACTGGAACTGGGGAAATCCTCTAGCAGGGAAAACTAATTGCCAATTGAGGCTTAAACATATTTTCGTTATATTTAAAAACATGATTCTGTTTTATTTTATTCGTTCAATTCGTTTATATTAAAAACAATGCTGTCAGATCCATTAATGCTCAATCGTAAAATTATTCAGAGTCTCGCAAAGAAATGGCCACTTGGCTTCCTCCATCAGAAATAATTATTGTCAGGGGCTTTGCCCCAACGGGTTTGGTTTTGGTTTTCCATGGCCAGGACAGTGCAGGCCAGACCAGGCCTATATGTTTCGAAACTGGTTCCGCACATTTTGCCATATTAAATCATCAAAATGGAAGAGAGAGAAAAAAAAAAACAGAGAGCAGTCACATCAAAATGGCCACAAAAAATTAATGCAAATGTTGGCGCTTTCGCATTTAATATGCAGAAATAACACAAAAAACGGTTGATAGGATAAAAAACACATGTGGGGCAAAGTTGAAAGGAAAAAAACAATTGGAATAATTGTGCAATATAATGACATATGAAATTTCATTTCAATTTTGTTTTTGCATCTTTTTATTTATTTATATAAGCCGAAACGGCAGCGAACCAGCAGAGGAAATCATGTCCATAAACTGAAAATTGCCATCCAAGTAGGAAAAACCATTCGCCCACGAAATGAACAACAAAGGCGGGGCCATTCTATATAAAAATACGACGACCAACTACTAAATGGATGAAAAATATTATAAATAAATTAAAATGAAATAAATTTACTCACGGCCGGCATCATCAATTGGTCAAGCGAGCAGAAGAGAAATTGTCAGAATCGCCATCAAAATGTTCCGGTACAGGGTACTCCAGGGTATGCACCCATAATTATTGTTTTCAAATTGGTTTTTGGCATTAGCATTTACCTTATTTTCTGTAGATTTGTTTGATGGTCTAACCTTCTAATGCTTATCCTCATAATTCGTGAAGAAATTTACTGATTAAGTCCTTACTTTTGAGTCTTTTTTTCTTCATTTTAACATGGATTTTGTTTAATATTTTAATTTTGACAGTATAGACTAGCATTTAGAGACATAAAACTATAAAATGAATTCCAAAATAAAATGCAAATTTTAAATTAAATTTTGTATTATGAGAAATAATGGTTATATCTTCCGAAATAAAACGAAAATTATTTTTAGTAATTATTAAATTGTTATCAATAAATTCATTTACAAGATCGAAACAAACATTGATTTAAATATTTTAAAAAGTCTTAGATCGAAAAGTTTAACCAAGTAATACATAGATTTTGTTGCTTTAATGTTGATAGTTCACAGCTCCTCTTTTTTCCCCTTAGAACTGACTTTTTCGGTAGCCAATAAGTCGACTTCTCGCGTTAGACTTCATTTTAGTTATTGTCATTCCGCGCCTGACCTAATTTACGAGCAGGAAAAAGGAAACAAAATCGCAGGACGAAAAAATCAGATGGCAGGATAAAGGAGGGTGGGAGGGAGAGAGGCAGAGAGGGAGACGGTGGAAGGACGTGTCGCATATTTGTCGCTATATTTTTTTAAGCCTGCTAAAAATCCATATAGGAGCACACTGCATAATGGCAAATAATGCGGACTGAAAACAAAAGTGACTTCCTTTATTGTCGTCTCGACATATCCTTCCATTGTTGATCTGAGTTTCAGCTACGGCTTTGGGCTTTGGGCTTTCGGCTTTGGATTGTTGGTTCTGGGTTTTGGGTTTTGGGTTTTGGGTTTTGGGTTTTGGGTTTTCGGGTCCTGCGCCTGGCCTCATTTGTCCTAGTTTAAATGGTCTTTAGGTCGCGCATTAAACCATTGCAAAATTTTGCATACATGCACAGGCCAGCCTTCTCTCTCTCTCTATCTCTCTCTCTCTCTCTGTATCGCTTTCTTTGGTATTGGTGGGTATCTATGTGTGTCTTCCTTTGTGTGTTTGTATTTATTTGTTTGCTGTTGGCTTTGATTTGGTTTCTGGCCTGGCCTGCTATCGCCATCAAATCAGGCACACAAACATAATTGTCTATGTGCTGAGTGTGTGTGTGTCAGGATCTTCGCTCGCTGTGTTAGTGAGTATCCGTTAGTGTGTGTTTGTGAGAGTGTGCCAGTGTAAATAGCAATTACAGGCCAACTACCCGCGACCCCTCGCCCCATCCTCGCTCAATGTGTTAGGGTAAATATACATAATCAAGCGAGTGCCCCCAAAAACGAAAATGCAATGAGGCAGCGCACAAAAACAACAACAGCCGTATTTTTACACTCGCCAAACAACAACACCAGCTGGGCTACACTTAACAAAAACTATTGGCTCTTAATTGCGACCCCTCGAAAGGGAGTATTTGGGTCAAACATCGGCACTTTGCGTTCCATGGTCGAGTATATATATTCATAATGATCAGATTAGGAAGTATTTAAAAGTACAGTAAGGTTTTGGGTTGGTTATTCCCCAATTTAATAGCTTTTGATCCAGTTTAGGAGCGCCTCCTTTTCTTAAAAAATGAAAAAAGATTTTAATATGAATGTTAGAAAGTTAAAAATCAGCTTAAAACTGATTTGAAAATATTAAGAAAACCAAATAGAATTAGCTAATGAAAATGTTTGCATTCTTTTGAGATCCCAGATGGGTAGATAACTTTTTTCCGTGGACGCCAGCAGCAACAATGTTGCACTTAAGCCTCGCCTGCGCCCATAAGTATGCTTCGATAAGTGTGAATAAGCGTGCCTCGTGATGAGGATGAATAGCGAGGAAAATGGGTGGCTAAAGAGGAGAGTACATAACGATGCACTAACTTAGTTAAAGTGCTTGAATGAAGATGAGAAACAGTCTGGCTAAAAATAGAATGCCAACGTACATACTTGTATATTAAAGGAGAGGAGAGCTAATGGCTATGGTTATACAAAATGCCAAAGGATGGATTAAGTGCAGTAAATAGTTGCCATAGGACGAGAGGTTTAGTTTTAACTAGCTCTTAAAATACCAAATTTAAAACTTCAAAAGCATAACATGAAGTGGAAGCTGTAGAAGAAGAGAGGGTCTCTAATGTAATAGTGAAAAATTAAGCTCAGAAATCATGCAAAAAAATTACATTTTCCTTTGTTAATGAATATTAGAATGATTTTTGCAACACTCCTTCGAGTTTTAGAAGTAGTACTGGTACTGCTAATGCCACTTAAAGTAATAACTACGAGAACTGAAAACCTCTCCATTACCTTCGGCGAGGGGCTTCCATGGAGTCGAAAAGGAAGCCCCGGCGAAACCGCGTAAAAGGGTCGCGCAAATGGGGCTGCTCCTCTTGTCCGGACCAGACCCATATGCAAATTGGTAAAACTAACTAAATCAGACAAGTGAAAACACCAAATTTAATTACATAGTTTGGGATGTACTGGATGGCTGGATGGAGTGGGCCTTTTGGCGCATGGCCATAGCGAGAGACACGGACAGACGGCGCATTACACAATATTTATTTAATGGCATGCCTTTTCATACATAGAACCGCCGCCAATTTATGTCGCACAGAGTAGAGTCAGAGAGTTCTCCATACCAAAAGCCAACACCCCCTGAAGTCCGCCCCGTGACCGAGATTCCGAGCTGGCGATGACGACGATGAAGCCTCAACCCCTTTTGGCCAAGAAGAAGTTCGACTTTTGGCTTTGTCTTGAAAACGAAAGCAGCCCGGAAATGTTTGTGCTGGCCCGGCCCCATTGTATACAGTAACTACTTAACTGTACGAGACCGTATATCAACCGGCGGGGAATGGGCAAAATGGCAGTGGAAGGCGCGATGTGTGCATATATTATGCAGTCACCTTGCCTATGAGGCGGCCGCAACACGTCAAGAATTCTGCACTGTCTTTGTGGGTGTGGAAAAAGGAAATCTCTAAAAGATATATTTTCCATAATGAGATGGAAAAGGAAACTCTTTATAGGAATGAACAAATATTTCATATCTGGAAAACGGATTTTACTAGCTTAGAGTGACCATATCTCCATTTAAGGCAGCTTAAAGTGGCCAGGTTTCCCAGCTAGTAACAGTATTCAAATGCCATTGAATCTTCATTCAAAAATCTGTAGATTTCCTTTGTAAACTTTAACTTTTTCTCTCAGTGAACTCCCTCAATTTGCAGATATTTTTTCTTTTCCTCATCGCTCCTTCTGCGCTATCTCTTACCAACTTTTCGCTTGCCTTTTTGCAGTTTCGCTTTAAGTTGGCTTTAATCACGGCCCGCATATGCATATAGGTATATGCACTGGCGCACAGATATGGCCTTATGCATATGGCTTATGTACATATACATATCTATATACATATATATATATATATCTATATATATACCTAGAAGTCTGACAAGCCCGATTCTCCACTACTCCGCCACTCTTCTGTCTCAATAACTTTGGGCTTTGCATTTTCGTTACGTTTCGTATGCAATTTTCGCATTTGTCTGTCTCGCTCGCACGCTCTGGATGGGTGGGCAAAGAGGGGGCAATGGGCGGGTGCCACGCCCCTTTGCTCGCTTGTTAAATAGCATCCAAAGTTGTTGTTGTTGTTGTTGTAGATGGTACGTGTTGGGAATGTAGGACATTGTTATGCAGGCAGGCGGCACAAAAGGAAGAGCAAATGAGAGCGACGGAGAGGGGGCTAGGCGGGAAGGGCAAGGGAAAAGGGTAGGGGAGTGGCAGGAGTAGGCCAGCCGCATGGCACGAAATGTGCAACACAAAAGTTTTCGTCATTATTGGCTTATGAGGTGAAATTTATTGCAGGATAATTCAATGGAGAGCGGCAACGTTCGCGGCCTCTCTCTCTCTCTCTCGCCCTCTCTCCCTCTCCCTCTTTGGGTCAGCGGAAAGAAGAGTTTAGTTAAGCTTATACTATCTTTAGTAACTTACTAACTGATTTATCCTCCCCTCTTTCTCGTTGCAGCACGAAGACCTTTTTTAAGACAAAAGCCCAGAGAAACTAAAGCTAAAAACTTTCGAATTATTACGAGAATCTTCTACATTTGAAATATTTTCAAATTCAGATTTAAACCACTTTATTCTTAATAAACTAATTGATAATTAATTACATAATAGTAAACAAAGCTCAAATAGACTGAAATAGAGTCCAAATATATTACGAAAGTAAATGCAATTAATTCAACATATCATATAAATTAATTAGAACAAATTGCATTTAAGTTATAAACAAAGCAAAACCAAACAGCCGTAAAGTAATTACACAAACCAGAGGCCAGCGAAACCGAAAACTGAAAACCGAAAACTGAAAACCGAAAACCGAAAACCAAATGGACAAAAGTCAAAACTAAAGCCGGAAAACAGCGAGAATTAAGTGAGAGAAGAAACAAAACCAACAAAAAGTGGAGATCAAAGTGCAAGAGAGTGTGTGGTGGCTCCATCGCGAAGAACCAATAACCAATCTAACACCGTATACTCAATAATTCAATTAAATTCTATTCTAATTCGCCGTTTAGTTCGCGTTTCAATTAACCCCAATAAATTATAATGTTTAGTCCAACAGCCAAGAGAACGGCGACGTAAATGGATCATCATCAATCGTAGAGGCGGCCGAAAAGAAATCAAGGTAAATAAATTGAAATTCCCACATGATCTGCGGGATTATTGGGAGTCATTTTCCGGAATTCAAGATATGCCAAGGGGGTGGGCGATGTATGAGAGGTCGTGGCATTGCCTCGCCCCTCTCTTTCTGCATTTCCAACAAGTGCCTGTTCCTCCCTCGGTTTCTATTCTTAGACAAATGATATTTCCCCCTGGCCTACCCCCCGCCCCCCATTCAAATTGTCTTTATTTATTTGTTGATGCCGCCCGTTTGTTTGTTTGGCTCCTTGTGAAAAATGATTTCTTAATGAGTCGCAACTGTGCGGTAGATTGAACAGAAGAAAAGGCACCCGAAAGAGATTGGCATAGATCATCGTGAGTATTACGCTGACTAATGGCTGTCTAATGAGTGGAAGAAGCGAAGAACGCCTGGGAAAGTCGGAAGTCACTGAGATTTTAGGGGGTCAAGATAATATTCAAGATGCTTTGAGAAGTTATACTTTCAGAAATCTTAAATCTGAAAATGAAACTCAACTAGGAAAATCTGTAGAACATCCAATCCTAGATGGTGAAAAACCACAAAGTAGAAAATAGCTGACAGGACGTTGAGTTTTCAAGGGAAACATAAGTGAAAAATCAAAAGTGTTTCCACATAACGAAAAGCACACGGCGCTTCATTAACATCATTCCACTTTCGTAACTCAATTTGGGAGCTGAAAATTCGTGGCACATGTGCGACAGCTCAGGAAACAAGCTAATTCCAGAATCAGAATCAGAATCAGAATCCAACACACATATTTCCCAATCTCTCTCGCTCTTTCTCTCTTTCTCACTTGCTATATATACGGAAAACGCTGACGAAGCCAAACCAATTTCGGAGCTGAAAAATTGAGGGAAAATCATAAAAAAGTGGGGGCAGCGATTCCTCTTCTTTGTGGCCATTCATCGGGACTCATTCATAGAGCAATCAGAGGAAGCATGGCGGGGGGCTTAGCACTAATCAAATCAAAGAGTTCGAAGGAGCTGGGCAAACACTTCCGAAGGGGAAGGCAAACAAACAAACAAATACGAGCGAGACAGGAAATGAGGGGTCGTGGGAGTTGGCTCCTTCAGCCAGTCAACCGGGAAAAGTCCTCTTCAAAAACGAATGTCAATGGCTTTCGAAATATTAATAATTATTAAAATTATTATTAAAATAAAATAAATTCAAAGACGAACATAAAATCTCTCCTTGGATTTTCCCACCTTTTATCTGGCAATAAAAAAAAAAGTTCGTTTACAAAACAAACATCGGAGGCATGTTTTCCCTTGCCTTGTCACTCGGCGGCTTGTAAGATTTTCCAACAGCTCCACGCCCACTTTTCCCCGTTCCCCTTGGCCATGCATGTTCCCCACTTGACTCGACCCGGCAATAAATACAATAAAAATCCCTTCTTTCGAGAACAGCACACTTCGTGCGAGTTTCGCTGGGAATTCCAGGAATGAAGTGGCCGCTGATAAATTAAATAAGATTGGCTGATTTGTGAGTTTATGGATTTTATGGCCACTTAATTACATTTCTTGGAAGCAACTTTATTTCACAATTCCTCTGATAACTTCAATATGTTCTTGTTTCTTCGTGGGTTTAAGCATTTTCAGATTGTCTACTTTCGAATTACATCTGGCAAAGACTTCTCTTACCTTTAGTTTCGTTTTTTGGAATTCTTTTGGTTTTTTCAAGTTTTAAATTACACAAAAATTGATGATTTTATCCATATTTTTAGCCCCTTTTTTTTATCCTCCAAAGATCATTGGGAATTCGGCTTTGAGCTGGGAAGTTCTTTGTTTGCCCTCCAATTTGTCCGCCCGGAGAACACCTTTCAATGTGTGTCCCCAGCATGTGTGTCCCATTTTCACCGGGAGGCGTGGCAGCGAGTGCTGATGGATTTTTAGTTGTTACAGTCGCCGAGGGCCGTCCCTTAGGGCGTTGCACATACGCCCCGTGGGACGGCAGCCAGTGCCATAACCCTTTTAATGCGCTTCCATATTTTACGCCGCCCACACAATTTGTATTCATCAGCCAGCCGTAGATTCATCAGCCAGGCTACGATTTCAGCTGTAATTAATTTTAATGCAAACATTTTTGCGGCTTGAGGCGGCATTTCATTTGTTCCCGTTTACCGCTTGATGTTGCTAATTTTTATGAGCATAATGATTGATTGATTGATGGATGGATGGCTGGCTGGCTGGCTGGTTGGTTGGTTGGTTGGTTGAATGGCTGAAAGGAGGGAGGAGCTGAGGGGATGAATCCAAATGAATGCTGATGGTTCGGTTGAGTGAATTGCTTTTTGATAGATCACAAATATGTCAGCGGGGGTGAAAGGGGCCAGGTCGGTCCCAGTTCATTGTTCGTTGCTGCTGCTGTTGGGCGGACCAAATGGAAATCGAAATGGAAATTCAATAATAAAAAAACCAACAAACGAAAATAGAAACGAAATTCGGTTTATGAAGCGCAAAAACGGCAAAAGGAACAGCGACAACGACAACTCAAATTGGATTAACCTCATTGCCCAAACTAAGCCCACGAATAAAAATTATAAATACCATGACTGCAGTGGTGGTGAAGTGAATTATGGTCTCTGTTGAAGAAAACTGTAGGGAACTATTGGGTTTTTAATATTTCAAATATTAATAAATAGCCCTACAGGGCTGAAAGATTAGTATAAGAAGTCAAGAAAGATGTTTAACTTTTGAAAAATATTCAAAATGTGCTCCTAAAAACTGGAATATTTCCGCACTTTTCTTTAAAAATCCGCTTAAATTCCGCAAAATTCTATGCCCTTTTGAGCCCGCAGAGTGCTGTGTTCCAGCCGCTCTCCCTTTGTCCCGATAACAGGATGATTTTGCTGAACTTTTTGGCTTTGGCCAAACAAATTGTAAATTTAATTTGGAGCCCAAAAGGAAGGGCGGGAGGGGCAGCGGCACAAAGGGGCACAAAGGGAGTGCAGTTGCCGCGGAATGCATTTGGTTTTGTGTCTCGCATAAAGTTTAACTCTCATTTTTTGCGCCACGGCGATCACAATAAATAAAACTCTTTTTCCAACGGCAGAGGCATGAATAAATTTTGCCCAGCGAATGGCTGAATGGCTGGGAAAACTGAGACACATTTGACAAGTTCATAAATTATCAGGCGAGCCAAAAAAAAACAAAAAAGGAAGAAAAAACGAAAACCAAACAACAAAAAAATGTGTGTAATTTTTTTGATTGTTGGGAATTTTTCATTGAAAGCCATTCACCATCCGCCATCCTCCACTCGCCGCCCCCTCCTTTTTAAAATGTATTAAACACAATATAAAATGGCTGAGAACATTTCCATTTCAAATGGGGCGTGGCAGGCACTTGCAAGGCAGGAAATAAATAAAAGGAAAGTTTCGCTGGCGCAAAAAATATAAAGAACAGAATAAAAACTTGTGTACGGCGCATAAAAAGCAACAATAAAACCCCAACAAAGTGAGGCACAGCCACCGAAACTATCGCCAAGTCTAGTTATCCTCGCTCCGGCACGAGGAAAACCCCAGAAATATGTATAGCAGAAGCAAGGCTGGCAGAGGGGCGATTTAGGAGAAGAGTTGTAAGTGGAAATAATGGCCAATGCGGCGTATGCGCGATTTAAATTTTTCATTTCCAGTATGCCAATGCGGAAGAGTGGGCTGAACAGGGCTTTAAATTACACAAAAGACGTCTGGCGAAGGGGAGGAAAAACCAGGCAATAGATTATGAAAGGCAATTCTATGGAAAGTGCAAGAAAATTGAATGGGAAAAAGGTGAAGGGAAATCTATAAATCGTTTTTGATAGCAAAAAAAAATTGTAAAAACTAAACAAGGATGGAAATACTCTTGAAAACAATCAATTTCAACTTACTTCTGATCAATAAGTTTCTATGTTTATGCAGAATAATGACAAATTTAACCATAAAACCGACTTTAAGATCAATCGAAAACCCATTTTAGTTTAATTTAGAAATTAAAAGGCAGCTTGAAAAACTCCTCAGCAGATATTACTATTTTCCACATACTTTCTCAACTCCTTCATCTTGCAAATCTGGCGTCTTCATCCTCAATTCTGTGCCCGCTCGACTTCTTCATTTATCAATCATCCGCCCCGTTGCACTTGACTGACTTCATATGCAAATAGTTTGCCCTAAGTGAATATTTTCTAATGTGTTTTGCGTTCGCTACTTGGGCGGGATTGGGAGCCGGGCCTGGTCAAAAGCCTTTCAAGTGAAATGCATTTGCCCCCTCTGGCCAGGCCATCTCCCCAACCTTTGCCAACGGCCAACGGCCAACACCATGGCCATATATACCGATTTTTTGAGGGTCATTTTTCTTGGAGGCAAAGCAAACTTCTTGCGCCCCATTTTTGCTGCTGCTCCTTTATTATCTCATAGGGTAAAAAATGAATCGGGCCCCCACACACAGACACACATGTATGAGGGCTGGGGGCTGGGGGGCTGCCTATATGGCATACAATGAATAATGGAGGCTGGGGGTCCTGGAAACCAAGAAGAACGAGATGCCGTAGCTGAAGCGATGACAACTATAGAAAATATTATAAGGATATGCGACCATAAAGCAAAAGGAGACCAAGAACAACGACCAGCGACAACGGACGACGGACGATGGACGACGGACTATGGTCGTTGCCGGGGAAGACAAATAAAAGAGAAATCGTTTATTGCAAAAGAGCCCATAAATTGATTTTTTCAAATAAAAATAAAATATCGACACACGAATGGGGAGCCACCAACATCACCCGAGAGTCAGACAGATAAAATAAGCCATCTACCATAAGGAGCTGGGTGGTGCTGGGCTGATGGGCTGTTGGGCTGTTGGGCTGTTTGGGCTGTTTGGGTGGCAAGGACTAAGTGAGATGCTGCCAAGATACACGACTCAATAGCCTGCTTGTGGTCCAAAAAGAAGCCGCCTCCAAGACGCCACCAAAATAAGAAAAAAAAAAAGAAGGAGAGAAAAGGAAAGGAAAACGGA